GAACGGAACAATAACAAAGAGCCGGTCGACCGGTAGCGACGAGTCTTAGGAGCGGAAAAAGAAGAGGATGATGCCGAAAGCGACGACAAATACGTAAATCGCGTTCTACCGTTCCGCGGGATTGTTCTTCCGGCGGCCAAATTAATTCTCCTCCCGACGCTTCCGGACAAACGGATTCTACTAAGGCGGCGGCTACGGCTTTGGCGGCTTCCGGATTAATTTCGGTGTCGGAAGAGGTTTCGTTCGATCGACCGAGGCGACAACAACGGAGTAAAAGCGTGAGGAAGGTTTGGACGTTGTGCGCTAATTCCTCCGGCGTTCGTTCGCCCGGTTCCGTGGCGGGGTTTAATCCTCGACCGATAATTACGGCGTGAAAAACGGACCAAACGCCGCCGGAAAAATTAACGGTGGCGGTGAAACGCCGGTTGATGTCTAATAAAGAAACGTCGGCGTTTCCTTCTCGTCCCGTTTCTTCCCAATCGGATTTTTCAGCCGATCCGCCGAAAAGTTCGGCGTTTCTGCCGCGCAGGGCTCCCTCCACCAACTGCTGCCTCGACCGATAATTCCGGCGTGAAAAACGGACCAAACGCCGCCGGAAAAATTAACGGTGGCGGTGAAACGCCGGTTGATGTCTAATAAAGAAACGTCGGCGTTTCCTTCTCGTCCCGTTTCTTCCCAATCGGATTTTTCAGCCGATCCGCCGAAAAGTTCGGCGTTTCTGCCGCGCAGGGCTCCCTCCACCAACTGCTGCAGGACGGATTTGGCGGCGGCCGAGGAAACGGCGCTCAGTCGCGCCAGCAACCGGCCGCTGTACGACAGGCTGGCGGGATTTTTTTGCCTTAAAACCAGAAAAAATTGATGAACGGCTGCGCGGACGACGGCCGAGAGGTGAGCGGGAGGAACGGCGCGAGGGAAAGGGCAGACGGATAAGAGGAGACAAGCGGCTTCGGCGACTTCGGGGTTGCGGTGAAGGAGGAGCTGCCCGAAATCGTGGAGATGCCGAGCCAGGACGGCGCCCAACTGCACCCCCATGGCCGCCGATCCCCCTTCTCCGCCTTCCCATTGCACCACCAGAGCTAAATTACGAAAAAGTTGAATTATTTGCGATTCCGGTAAACGTCCGGCGTGGATTTGAGAAACGCAGGTTTTTACGGTGGCGGGAAGGAGATCGGTGAGGCAGGAACTGAGAACGGCGTAAAGTTGCGTGGCCAAAGCCAACTCTTCCTGCGTCCGGGCGAGCGTCAGGAGGAAGAAAAGCGCGTCGGTGGCGCAGTGAGGAGCCGAATAAACGGCCAAAAGGCTCAAAAGCTGATGCTGCCAAAGAAAACGTTTCCTCTCCAACCGTAAAGTCTCTACGCATAAATCCCGGACGTGAGATTTCAAAGCATCCAAAAAAGGAACCGGACGAGGCGGAGAATCGGTTAAACTGGGATTGCCGCGGTTATAAACTAATTTTTGAAGGTTGAGGAGGAGGAGTTGGATGATGCGATCGCAAGATTCTCGCACGCCGTCGTGTAAGGTGAGGCCCGGCGGGGTGATGACGGACGCCGGCATCGCCGTATTTACCAAAAATTGAAGAATTCGATAAGCTCCGGCGGAGGTTTGACAGATGAGGTGGACGACGATGCTGACCATGTTCTCCAGATCTTCGCGCGGAAGGGAAACGAAATGTTGGTGGAGTTGATTGAGGACGTTGGGTTTGAGAGAATCGACCAATTCCGAAGAAATCGTACCCAATAACGCCGGGGACATGACGGCTACTTGGAGGAGAAAAGGGACAGCGGCTTTTTGGTGTTGATCTCTAGCGGGACCTAAACTCTCGTGAAACATCCGTAAAAGTTCTTGTTTAATGCTGCCGGAATGTCGAGAAGCCAAATGTCCCAAAATCCCGACCACCGACGCTATTTTCGGCACGCGTTTATCGGCCGCCACGGGAAAAAAGAAATCCCCCGGCGTCGCTCCGTGTACGCAAAAATCTTTTAAACCGCAAGAGAGGACGCGGTTGATGATGGTGTTGGGAAAAGAAGAACCGATGTGAGCCACGACCCAATCGAAATGAGGCGAATGTTGAACCGACGTATCCAACAAAGCGTCGACGCAAGCGTCCGGGCATCCTCCGATCATGGCGGAAAGACACTGGGTATAAATTTCCATCAACGTCCGCGTGGCTTTGCAGGACATCCAGAGCTGTAAAAGCTCGTTAAGGCTGGAAGCGTGCGGTACGCCGTGTCTCCCCGCGTATTTGCTGCTTAATTGTCCCATTAAATCGATGGACCAAGCGGAAACGACGGGCGCCCAAGCTTTGGGATTAGCCTTCACGAATTCCGTCAACACCCGTTGTACTTCTTGCACGACGTCTTCCAATCCGCTTCCCGACGTCCTTCCTCCTCCTCCTGACGTCGTTCCTCCTCCGTTTTCCCGTTCCAAGAGATGGGAACAGACTTGATCGTCGAAAACGGACCGGAAATGATCCAACGCGGCGTGTCGGGCCGGGGGGAGGCTACGGAGGAGGAGGAGGGCGCAGCGAGCGTGATCTTTCGGGGAGAGTTTGGTGCCGTGAACGGGGTCGAGGCCGGTGAGAAAAGCTTTTACCTCCTGGCCCAGCTCCTGGGCGCT